TGGAAGAAGTAGGCAAAATTTGTTCATGGGAAAAATATCAATTCACAAATGGAATTTGTTGAAGACAATAAGAATCATTAACTAGAGTTGTTCTAGAGTTAAATTCCATGTTTAAAAATATGGAAAAATCAATCAATCGAAAGGATATTCTCATTTGTATAATACTTATTAGAAAAACGCTCTTGTCCAATAATTCTCTCTTGAGTCACAATATCTTGAATGAGATAAAAAGTTAAATAGGAACAATACATTAGGAGTGTTATTTTAAAAAAATTAAGTCGGCGCCAAATCTAAATTCATAAGTGTTACTTAGAAGGAATTTGTACTCGCTAAAATTATTATTATTATTATTAGTTTTATTCAACATTATATTTTTGGTACAATATAGAATTCTCAACAGAAATTACTTTAACAATTTTCCATTTCTTACTTCTTGGTCGATCCTGATGATAAATATTGAGTGATCGGCAGTTAGAAGTTAACAGTCCAGTAAATCGACATTTAAACAATGTACATTCTTTTCGCTGCATATTACCAGCAACTACGATATCTCCATTTGGGCTTTTTTTAACTTGTACAACAAAACATTGTAAATTTTTCAGAAACGCACCTGAATAAGTTATGCGATTAATGGGCGTAATGATGTACTAAAACACAAAAATAGACAACTTGTTGAAATGTCTAAATGGCAGGAACAGGTAACGCAGATGTTCAAGCAAGCCGCCATTGCTACTTCGTTCCATATAATAAAAATAGATCGTGAAATTCAGATGGTATAGTTTATAATAATTAAATGAATTTTAATAATATTTCAGTTGGCTTTTTGAATGAAGTGATAAACTAATTTTAAAATCAGTCCGATAATTATAACTTATTTTTAATGAAAAAATGAATTCTCATAGTGATAACCTGTCAGGCAACAATAACTTCATGTTTGCATGATCAACCGTAATTATCATCAAATCTATTCACCATACATCTATCAAGTATTATCTTATAACTGAGTGATGGATACTTAATGTTTGGGTTGGCGTTTTAAAAAAAAAGATTCTAGATCGGTTTAAAAAATAAATATTTATAGCCAGTCATCATTGAAATCTTTTCAATATATTTAATAATAGAGAGAAACCAATGAATCTAGTCATAATTAATCAATCTGTTGAATAAAATTTAAAGTAAACTCTTCATAAGTTTACGTGCCAAAACGTTTAGTGACAAATGTAAACCACTATGGTAATAGATATACGTGATGATATGTTTTAGCTACTATTTACATGCATTATTCAGATTCTATGGTTTTTAAATGTTTAAGAAAAAAGTTGCCATGACTACTAGCACATATATTTGTATCATGTAAATTACATAACAGCATAAATTAATTAAGTAAAATTTACTTTAAAACACTATCTTAAAGATATTATTAGTGTTATATCGTGTGACTGCCGATTAGAGAGCAGCGGCTTATCGATCAGATCAAAGACGCGTAAAATACGTGCGAGCAGTCTAAAGTCTTGATTGGCCCTGCTTTCCGCCTAGCCCAGCCAGTTAATTCCTGAACACCTGTTTCAGCCTCTGCAATATAAAATCCTTTTATTTCAAACATAGTGAGTTTATATACCAATCAAACAGACCACAACGTACCGATAAAATATGAAATAACATTTGTACAAGAATTAGCCAGATGTGGCTGTGAATGAGCGAGGTAGTAATTAATATACTGGGTATAACTCAAGAATGGTAAAACGTATAATAATAGTTTATGAGTCAAAATACAGCTTATAATAAGAGGGATATGAATATGCATAGTTTAGTTACTTAATAATTATACAATAGAAATATACGTTTAGTATTGGTCGATCAATAGATCCCAAAAGTTACCATTCATTATTCTTATCGGGACATAACAATTAGGTTACTGCAGATTATTCCAAACCTCTACATCAATTAAAATGGTTTAAATTGTGCTATACACTTTGCCCTGTTCTTGAGGTTCTGTGCCAAAATATCTTATGAAATAACTGAATTTTGGTCTTAGTTGTGTTATGCAATTCAAGTCAATGAACTAGAATTCTGGTAATGTTAAGATCATATGTGTTTTTCATCCCAGTTAAATCATTTACTACCCACCTGTGTTATTTCTTTTGATAATTTCGTTCACAAACTTTTACATTTTTTGTTCAACTGATTATGTGCAGTAGTAAAATATGATGAGTATGATCAATATGCTACTTAAATATAGTTTTAGTTTTTCCTTTCTTATGAAAATAATGCTTTAAGTTCTGTTCGACATTTTGATGATATAATTTCGTATTTAAATGAAATCTATGAATTACCTTTGTGTCACTAGGCCCTACTAATTATTTGCGTTTATGATTTGTAATAGAACCATCTCTAGAAGCTTTAAATAATTCAACATGAATGAGTAAAACAATATTTCTTGTTTCAAACGTCAACCGTTTAAAGACCATTTAATAGTTTCTATGTATTTTGTCATAAAATTGGATACAATTAAGTGATTTTTTCAAGTTTAGAGTATTTTTACAAGAGAGGTTACTGTTAATTTTATCTCACTTAAGACTATCGGTTAAATCTAAGTCGTGCGGTTAATAGCGTTTTTGAATAAGTATTTAAATGAATCTGAATATCAGAGATTGAACAGATCAATCGGCTTTGATAATTTTGTAACAATGACTAAGAAATACTTTTAAAAAGTATGATCGGGTCTAAATGACAAAACTTTATTTTGTACTACGTGTTTTGATATGCTGACAGGTAATAACTAAATTAATTGTGTACTCAGTACTGAAAAGACACTGATCAACTTTAGTCTTAAACATCAATGGGAAGATACAAGTAAACAATTTAAACTTTATCCCATTACACAAGCAAGTGGCCATCAGAACTCAGCAGCTAAGTGAATAACGCGATGGTATATGAAGCGAACGATACTGGGTTTGAGTCTTAGAGTTAGCATGAACTCTGAGATGCAGGTACATCCAGTTGATAAGTCCCGAATAAGACAAAACGCGCGTTTTGGATTCCACTGCTAGCCACTATAGATCTTTGCTTATAAGACTGAAATGTGTCAAAATACCCTATTTATTGTTTAATTTCTAAATACTTCCTCTGTTCACAATGCGGTCTGTATTTATCAGTTTGTATTGTTTTCTTAAAACTATTATAAGATATATACACCAAATTATGAACAAATAACTTTAGTGTCAATGGCACATAACTGTGATCTGTTTAACCGATGTTGGGTCCAATATCACTGAAACTACTATTACTATCTTCTTAATTCCATTGCACTATGCTGATATAATGGAGAGAGGCTGAAGCACATTTTGGCATCCTACGTTACTTACTGACTGTTGAATATTTTCCAAGTATTTCCAAAAACCTTGATTTGAATTCAGATGAAATGGACGTACATTGTAGCAACTAAATAACTAATTTTTGGAAAAGAATCACTAATTTATTGTTAATTGATTAAAGAAGTTCGGAATTATTTGGCAGACAGATTCAGTGACATAAATTTATTTGTTACTTACTTTGACGAACAGAATTTTGTCTACTTGAAAAAAACATCTCATTGTCCAAAATATTCTTTCTTTTAAAAGTCGAAATTCTGTTTACTGCAAGCATTATGTTCCTGACCAAGTGTGTCCTTTACTTATATTCATCTGTCTAATCGAAAAAGAAAAAAGTCATATACTTTCTGAGGAATTGAAACTAGACTTTTGAAATCCGTTTAAAGTTATTGCAAATATAATGACTAAATGTGGTGACTCTACTTCAGTAGTATGTTGAAAAGTTACAGAGGAGGTGATTGTGTAAATAAGTATATCTGTGATCTTTAGCGCTACTACCGGTACTACGATTAGTACGACATTGAGAACAATTGTTATCGGAATATCAATTTATATTTCTTATTATTAGTGGTAATATCATATTGTTATAAATGACTTAGTATCTTCTTAATTAGTTTAGTATTTTCAGTACATGTATATGAATGTTAGTGTATGTCAGGCAAAAGACTATGTAAGATGACCTTGCTGAATGCATAATTCTTTGTTCTTATAACTTGTTCTAATTAAAATGAATGAAAATTTTATTAGTCATATAGTTTTTATGCATAAAGAGTAGGTTTTACTTTATTCAAATCGAAAAGTTTCTGGCTTGGAACCTATATCGATTTTTCTCCTCTAAATGGTGAACCGGTTTCAATGTTTATACTTTACGCTCCCTCATCCCTACGTTTAACCAAAACGGTCTTCCTGGTCTGTATAATTGCCTAAATCTTATGTAGAGTTTACCATTTACTTGTCCTGATATAAGGAAATAATTGTAACTAGAGTGATATATACTACTGATGTATCGTATCCGATCTGGAAAAATTAATGACTCAATATCATGTAATTTCATCTCATCAATAACAAGTTCTTGCGTTTATATGCACGTCTGTGATATGGTCTAATTGAAAGCATAAGATTAACTAAATGATGATTGTACAGACAAAATACATACGTTAATTTTATTCCTACTTAAGAAATATAACATTTACGTTCACTAGTTTTTTGGCGAGCGTCGATTAAGTGTTTTCTATTTTATTGACCGATAGAAAGTGTCCTATATGAAGTCACTTTTTCTACTTTTTATCTTCCATCACCAACTGTTTGTCATTATTTACCTTATTGTCTAGTAATTTGAGAGAATGGTCTGTAGCAAATCAAACAGATGGAATTTAATAGTTGAATTTATGAGTCTATCTAAGCTAGAAAAACATAGAAAACCTGAAAGCATTGGACGGCCGTTTTGTCTTAGTGTGGGAATCCTGAGCAATGCGCATCCACGATCTCGCACGCGAACGCTTAACCTTAAAACCACTAAGTTGGACTTAGTTGGACTTGAATTCTGTTTAAAACATTGTTGTTAACAAAAGTAATAATGACCGAGAAAAAAAGCATATTTATTTAATTTTTATTGTTTTTAAAATTTAGAAATACTCTTATCAATAACTGCAAAGTTACTAAGGAAGATATATACAAAAATGATCCATCACTACAACAAATGCTTGATTGTTTGAGTAAACAAAAAGAAGAAAGACAAAGATATGCAAAGAGTGATCAGTCACAAAAATTCAGGAAATATGTAAATAAAGGTGTTAAAAATAAAGAGAATGAAGTGAGTAATTTTATGATTGGTATATTTTTATTCTAATATTTAAAGAAGACTATTTGCTATAGTATCTACAATTAAACTACGAAACACGTTTAATACTGTTGATTATTTCATTTCTGAGTAGTATGGAGCGATTAAATTTAATGGATATAGTATATATAGGGATATACTATGTTATTCAACATATTAGTATGAGCTATCAGATATAACTAGAAATATTTTCAGTTATCTGACTAAAAATCGATAATTTTATTAACGTTTTTGACTTTAAGTAATATATTTTGTTTACGAAAAATTTATCGATAGCATATTTCTATATGACCATCATTCAAATAGGTACAATAATGTACATTCTACCTGAAAATAATGTCTATGATCGAGAGTCTTGATGGAATATATATATATATATATATATATATATATATATATATGTTCCCCGATACAACACAGCATCCAACAATCGAATCACACTTCACGAAGATTTGGAAGATGTATTAACCTTGACATAATGGGACAGCATCATTGATGAACATAGTGGATCTGGTGCAGATGTGAATGCTTGGATCGGCAAAGCAAGAGCAGCATATCTACAATTGAAGAACATCTGGAACTCAAAACAACTGTCAACCAACACCAAGGTCAGGATTTTCAATACAAATGTCAAGACAGTTCTACTGTATGGGGCGGAGACCTGGAGAACTACGAAAGCCATCACCCAGAAAATACAGGTGTTTAATAACAGCTGTCTACGCAAAATACTTCGGATCCGTTGGTCAGACACTATCAGTAACAACCTACTATGGAAGAGAACAAAACAAATCTCAGCGGAGGGAGATATCAGGAAGAATTGGTGGAAGTGGATAGGACACACGTTGAGGAAAGCACCCAACTGCGTCATAAAGCAAGCCTTCACTTTTAATCTTCAAGGCCAGAGTAAAGGAGAAAGACCAAAGAACACATTACGCCAAGAAATGGAAACAGACATGAGAAAAATGAACAAAAATTGGGTGGAACTAGAAAGGAAGGCCCAGGACACAGTGGGTTGGAGAATGCTGATCGGCGGCCTATGCTCGATTGGGGTTAACATGCATAAGTAATTAAGTAATATATGTTATCGAAATCAATTAATTCAAATATACGACATATCATACGATATGAAATTATTTAATGAACAAATCGAAATATCAACAAAGTTTGGTTCTATGAAATGGGTACAATGAACAGTAACAGATAGCCATTGAAATTAGAAAAGCTTGAAGATCTTGAATTAAATCTGAGGTAAATTTATGTATATAGGCTGCTTGAGAGTCCTATGATGTAATGAAACTATTATTTAATGTTTCATGGTTTTTTAGTCGTTGTCAAGATCGGTCTATGGTGTTAATTATGAAATTGAAAAGTTTTCTCAATATATCTAAAATACGTGAAACAAATAATGATTCGATCAATAATTTCTTCCTACTGTTATTTAGTAGACCGAATACATGTGAGTTAAACTCTGTTCCCACCACAAAACTCTATTTATGGTCGTTAATTTGTGTAATGATTCTCACTGTATTATCTAACATCTTAGCGAATTTAATGCAATGTATCCAATTAATTTTTCTCTGATAAGATATAAAATAATACAGGCCAACTGAGAAAATGAAACAAGGGATTAAACAAAGCCAGTAGATACAAGATATACTTTTATATAAATACAGGATGTTATTTGTGATTAAATCCACTGTTTTTAGAAAAGTGATTAACATCTATTTGTTTTACATACTACACAATGTACTGTATCACAGGGTATTGCTGTAATCTTTCAGTATCAGTGAAACGCACTAATTTAAAATTACAAATGACAATACAGAAGTGCTGTGGAAGTGGAAAAATATATTCTACTTCTCAAATCCAGTAATGGCTGGAAAGCTTACAATGTAATAATCAGATAATCGTAACTAGATCTAAATGATGCCCATGCTGAACAACTAGTTTACCTGACTGATGTTGTGCATTCGGTAATTATGATAATATTAAGCAATTATTTTATTTAATAGTGATGATCTATATATATTTTTTGTTATATTTCATTTCAAGTCCCTGAAAACATTCTGGGATGAACTTGAACGTCAAAGAGAACAAAGATCACGTATGGAAACAGGGGCTACGCATCATCTTTCAGAGCACTTAATCACGAGTCTCACAGCTTAGAGCAAAGGAAAGAAAGAATTCTCAAACTGTTTCCTGAAATATGTTTGATGAGAGAGAACGGTGTTATGCAAGAATCTTCAATTATAAGTCCTTGATATATTAAAAACATTTTATTTAAGACATACAGTCAACTTGCCTAATCAATTTTGATTAAACAGACAAAGTGGAAATAACAACAGTATTTATGTTAACTAATTTTATAGTGGGTATCAAATAAAAGAAGCATGCAAAATGTAGTTTTCTAACCCTTTTATGAAGTAAATTTTTATTGTATAGTGTGGGTCTTTGCAAACTGTACTAGTTGAAAATTTATGTAGTTAAAGAAGGTTTTAAAGTATCCTCTTGAAAAATTTATAATTATCATAAAGCTATTAGTTGTCTTGATAAATCGAAGCAATATTATTAGAATGCGAATATCATAAAATCATGTATGATATTGTGGTGTAAGCTACTTATGTTGATAGATATAAGTAGTATGTAACACTAATCAGTATTAGAATGCGTGGTAGCAGATGATTAAAGAAAATTTCATTGAAGAGAACAGGAATGTAAACAGTGAGTAGTTGTAACAACAACAGAATTAAAAGAATACTGGAGCATGAAAAGGACAATTCAAGGAAGATATGCAAAAAATGTATTTAATGTATAGTCTCTATATTTTGCGAAGGCATTGTATCATTTTGCATGAAACAATGAATTTGTTATCCCCAACTAGTGTCCATTTACTACAATGTTAGTTTAATAAAATTTTGCATAATCCAATTAGATATTAATTTATCAATAGCTTTATAATCCTGTTGCTTTCTCTAATAGAAGAACGTATACAATATACATTTTTAACAACACTTAAACTAGTGTTATTTACAAAATTGTATCGGTTATATCAATTTTGTATTAAATTAATACAACCGATGGTTAGAGACCTTGAATGACATGACTCAAAATCGTTTGCAATGATGCAGTTACATCCACTCTTTGTGTTCTCTCAATTTTTCATGTCCCTTTTTTCCTCTTTCCAAATTTATTTCACTGGATTATACTCTTTAAATAACATCTCCAAACCCTAATCTTCTCGATTACTGCTTATACTCTTATTACCTCTACCACTATGGGATTTGAATTGACAACTGCATCTCTGAGCTAATGTGGTATGGCAATTCGAACTGATGTACGTACATACGAAGTTCTACGTTGTTACTGACTGACTAACTCATTATGATTGTTACTTTCATAAGGAATTTCAGTTTTGACCAGTTAAATAAATACAACTTCAATTTACTCAATTTTATGAGATTCTATGAGAACATACACATAGAGTGTGTGAAATATTTTAGTAAGGTTTACTGATAAACTTCAATGCATCTTATAAATTATATTGTATATCAATGTAAAATAGTGGTTTATGGTCCAATATATATGTATATTTCATGTTTAAAAGCACACTTCAATGTAAAGCTTAAATTTGTAGAATGCTAATTTTGTTTCTATGAATTTACTTTCATTTTCGTTTACATCTTGTTGTTTCACGTTGTGTTACTCATACTAGTGTTTTATGTTACATTTATGATTCGTACAATGTAAAATTTGTAACTAACATGTCAGAACATGCCTTATTATTCAGTTTGTTTGTATTTTTTTTATTCTTACTTATAATAAATTTAAAATCTTTTTTGATTGATAGTTGAACTTTCTATTTAACTGATATTTTGATTTAGTAGTTATCATTGAAATATGAGACTCCTATTTCTCATGCTTTCTAGTATCACACTATACTAGTGAATATATCTTGCTTTGATTTACAATTTAGTCATTACCATTTATTTGTCGATAAATTCATTCTGTAGTTAGTATTAAGTAATTTTACTAAACCCTATGTAGTACGTCTTACTATCGGATATTATAGAAAAACTAAAGGTAGTCTGTCTATAGTTTGTTAACTGTCGATAAAAAGTTTAATAATTAAAGAGAAATGTTGTTGAGATCAAATGTTCACATTTCTGTACACTGTTATCAATAATGTTATAGTCAGTGATCGTGAAATTCTTCATCAGCAACTTGCTATACCACAATGAATTCAATGATGATAAAACATATTGCTGTATGCATACTCATTAGTTTTACTTAGATGTTCCTAGTGAATGATGTCTTTACATATTTTACATCAATGCATTTTCAAAAAGGGAAGTGATGACATATGGAAAGTTTCAAAAATATGTTAAGCAAATCTACATTTATACCATACTTTAGGGTTTGAAACGAAATGGATTTTTGAAATAAATTATTTTTACAATAAGTACGTAAAAGTAAAGATGAATAGTGGCTAGCAGTGGGATTCAGGATGCGCGTTTCGTCCTATTTGAGACTCGTCAGCTGGGTTTACCTGCATCGTATATTTGATGTTCACTCCGGAATGCACATATGCCAACATGAGACTGATCAATTGCAGTCCTAAATCACAATGGGAAGATACAAGTGAAACAACACCAAGTGAATTTGAACTTCACGCCATTGCACAAGTAGGTGGCTATCAAGACTCAGTAGCTATGTGAATAACGCGATGGCGTTTGAGGCGAACGATACTGGGATCGAGACACAGAGTGAACATGAACTCTGAGATGCAGGTGCATCCAGCTGACGAGTCTCAAATAGGACGAAACGCGCGTCCTGGATTCCACTGCTAGCCACTATACATCTTTGCTTATAAATTGACAAAACGTTTTAAAAACTGTGGTTGATACGGTGTACTCAATGTGTTCATATTCATTACACGAATTCATGTATTTCTCATACAAAAATATTGTATTATTGTAATTTTTTGATATTACTTAGACCTAATGACTTTGATAAAGTGTGTTACTTTCTGCACTCAGTTCCTAACTTTTTAAGTTTTTTCATTTTTTTTCCCAATACAATTGTATGGGCGTTTCATAGTTTACTGAACATAATGAAAGCATATGTTAATTCATCCTCATGAAAAAATACTAGAATTTCCAATCTAAGTACATTACCTAGTGACATTATGATAACTCATGTTTTTTTGTTTTCTTTATTCTAACCGGAAAAAATGCCGTTCAGTATTGTTACATAATTCCATTTTGTATTCATATAGATTATTCCCAAATGAAATAAACATTATTGTGAAGTCATTTTATGGTAGCCATTCAAAATCCCTTTAGAGTCAAAGTTAGAATAACCGTGATAATTTGTTACTCTTTAATTAAATAAATATTCATCATTGTGAATAGCACAAATACAAATGTCTGATGATTCTTATCATTGTCTACTGTATTCCATATTCACTTTATTTTCAAATCTTAATTTTTAACAAACAAATCATATTGATCAATATTGGTGAATACATCTACTTTCATCCCTTGATATCAATTATGTCTAATTCATAATGAATTGAGTACGGAAAATCTCTGTTCTTTACATATATATGCCTAATCAATTAGTTTTTCTTACTACAAACATTGACATTTGTTGAATAGTTGAGATTTCGTTAAAAAAAACATAGTGTCCTATTCTAAATTCGTTCCATCTGAATGATTATGCGAATTATCTATTTCTGTTGATGAGCTATTATGAGTTTTAAAATCTATTGTGAAGCTGCTTACTGGAAAATTCAAATTGAACCATTAAAAGTTATTAATATAATATTCTTTCGGTCTTTCTTTCAACAAAACAGTAAGCTTAAAATACATGCATCATTTATTTTATATCATATAGATGAAACCAACCGAAAATATTTCTGAATGAAGATAAATAACAGATAACCACAGCTAGAAAACGAAATCATAGATATCTGAATATTCATATATTGAATGTATCGTCGAAATGTCGCATATTTTATGCTTTAAATTTCCTATTTTAATAAACCACATAAGAACTAATAGACTAATTGATTTTTATAACTTTCTTCAAATCCCAAATGAAAACTAACAAACAGAATACTCATTGAATTTCTACTGAAACAGTGATTATTATATAAATAACTTAGTTGACATATTGTGGTAAGTTCAAATGACACTGTTCATTGATAGGTTGACACTTTGCTTTTATCATAACACTTTTTATTTTGAACTCATAAAGCACAAATTATTAGCAGATAAAAGTTTATTTTGTTTTTTCGAATTGTTCCGTTTCAATAACTAGTCCTTTATGAGTACTTCAATAAATTTGTTGAGTTCAAGCGATTGAATTTATTAACGTTTTAGTCGTTTGTTTTCTATGGAACTATATCAGTCACACAAAACATATCTCAGCGGAGGAAGAAGCGGTGGAAGTGGATAGGACACACATTGGGGAAAACACCCAACTGCATCACAAGACAAGCCCTCACATTGAATCTTCAAGTCCAGAGGAAAGACGGAAGACCAAAGAACACATTACGCCGGGAAATGAAAATAGACATGAGAAAAATGAACAAGAATTGGATGGAACTAGAAAACAAGGCCCAGGACAGAGTGGGTTGAAGAATGCTGGTCGGCGGCCTATGCTCCATTGGGAGTAAAAGGCGTAAGTAAGTAAGTAAGCAAGTATATCAATCACAAAAACATCCGTTAACAAAAAAATGTTAATCAAAGAAGAATAATAGTGGATTTAACTACGTTACATAACTTCTATACGGTTAAACCTGTTTATTTGACATCTAAAATACATATGCTACGTGCATGACACTTACTATAGCTACATAGCTCCAAAATAATATAAATCATTTTAATATAAATTTTACAATTTCCCATTACTCATAAGCGTCATCAGTCAGATAAGTGTACAATAGTTTTATACATAACCATTAGTATTTTTAAAAATGTATCCAATAGAATAAAATTAAAACAAAGATTGACAAATGGAATAAAACTTTTATTGTTTATTCTTTTTTTTCATTAATCCATGTTTACGTTAGATTTAAAAATGAAATACTTTTGAACATTGTAATATATTGATTTAAGAACCAGATAAACTGGATGTGGTCTGATTCTGAAAATTGAAATCGATCATATTATTGAGTTTTCTGAAGCTACTGTCTGCCAATTTGAAAAAAAAATTCTAAAAATAAAAAATAAGCTGGAAATACGAAACCTAGTAAATTTAGAAATTGTATCCTGACCACAGCTCAAGATTATGATAACAAGTCAACACTAGCTTAGTTACTATTATGTAAAGTATTCTAACAACATGAAGAAAGTCAAGGAGTTAGTCGTAAAAGCGAGAATTATAAACATGAGCATAATGATCACTTTTATGCAGATAAAATTCATATTTTTAAGTTACTTAAGAGATATATTTGCGGTGGAAATAATCTTGACTGTGATATCTTTGTTTGTTTTACCCTTAAAACTATACCATACTGTATCAACTATCATATAATTGAGTATAAATTGAAATACTGGTATGTTGAATCATGAAGTCAATGTTCGTTTGAAATATCCAAAGAATGTGTTATTCAACTTGATGATGTAGACGCATATTTTCTATTTGATAGACGCATACTACAGAGATTGCTTCCGAGAATTATGACGGAGCCTCCAGAGGCCCCGAAGAAGCCGAAGAGTTTCCATCCAATCTGAACAGGATGAAGCTTTCTAGAATATCATCGTGGCATACTGTTATTGGACAGTAGCATAATATGCCTCATTGCGGATTGGTTGAACAAACGTTAACAAACGTTAATATATATATAAATACCCATGATTTTCTGTACATTTTGGTTTTTACCCAACAAGCACTTATCCCGTCTTCTTCTGTCTTCTGATCTGCAACTGTGGGGTTCTATACGTTCGAATGCCTTGGTTGTATACCTTATTCTGCATTAATCAAGTAGCGAACTTAACACATACATACATTATATCACTACACAGTTGTAGATTACCGTTTACAATGATTTGTTTTTTAAAGAACTAATAAGTTAATCCTAATAGTTTTATTCCAGATTATAAGTTTTATATTGACTATTGAAAGATAGTTTATACCGGTTTATTTTGTATAACATTGTATAATTGTACAAAAATTCAAATTTCAATTTGTCTACACTTTCTAGTTATTAAAGTATTAAGTTTTCATTTAAATGATTCCCAATTAAGAAGAAGCTTTAATCCTCTGAAGTATTTTGGGAATAAAACATTTATGGATCAATTTCAGCAACTCGCAATAAAAGTGATTTGGAAAAAATTCATTCTTTTATTGGGTTTTTTATTTTCATTTATGTTCTATTCAACTTGATAATTATTTTACCATTACATAATTACATCATTTTCTGATGGTTTAATACAAGAAACTTAACTTATTCAGAAAGTAGTCAGTAAAATTTTAGTGAACTGACTTCATTTAATATTAAAATTGTCAATAAATGCCTAAAGTATGAGGATATACCTATATTCTTTGGACTTCTTAGAAACTGATAAGTTTTGGGGATTGAACGCTATATACGTCTCCTAAGCTATTCTGTCACCCCGAAGCGACTTGAACACGAGAGAGAAGACTCAAATTATGCGAGAAGTAGTTTACTCCAAGGTTCATTTTAATACAGAAAATATAGGGTTTTTATAATATTTTTAAATGTCCTTGGGCTGCTGAAAGATTCTGGAATGCTACTAAACATAGTAGCAGTATAGCAACCAACCAATCAGAACCTCTGCATGTGACGTTCCACTTCCTTGATATTTTTGGCTAAAACTTCAAGTGAACGCAGATTGGATGAAACGCTTCTTAGTGTTTCCTGATGCTTGCTTGTCTTTTGCAAGCAATTTTCTGGATCACTCCAACAGAAACTACATCTAACTTTTTTTTTCCCTAATTTATTATCATGATTATTGCTCATTAACGAATAGGTATTATGAATTTTTGCATTTATCTAAGGTATAAACAAATAATCATGCACTAACTATTGGCTTCCCCATTATTTCTGAATATATTTATTTCATACTATGAATAGAGTGAATTTTCGACAAAAATATTGTATTGTTATATGAGAATAATTTGTTACTAACCAGATATTTATCTCAGTTTAGTAGCTAACAATAGTATATAACAGTGAATTGTTCATTATATTGAGTTTAATATTAAAAAAGTCAATGCTCATTCTATTATCGATTGGGTATAAGTGAAACTTGTCATTTTACTTCAGTGAATAAGAATGACTGATTTTCCTTCTTCAAAGGAATGAATGTATTTTTGAAAACCGACACTTTAATTCTCTAAAAATCAAAGCATAACCTCTGAGTATTAGTCATTTTGTACTAAGTTTATACATTAGCTTAGTTACAAACTAATTTTATTTAAACATTGAATTGACGACTAACCAAAAACAAAATATAATAACAGACATTTTGTTTTTGACATTACAGAATTAGAATCGTTTTTTGCTAAAAGGTAATGAAAATCAGAAAAGTGTCAAAAGTAGAAGTGGTTTTGATTTTGTTTTTTTTTACCAGTATGTTAGGGTTTAATGCATTTATTGGTAAATAAATTAGGCAACATCAATTAATTGAGATTCGGTATGTAAAAAATACAAAGATTATGAACAGGTTGACATTGAATGTCCAGGTTACTATTATTCAGATTCCCACAGAATAGTAACTTACATTATGATTCGGCGAATTAATATCTTACAAAACTGTAGTTGATTTTTTAGAAAATATGGTACTGTATACAATTGTTGATACTATATATCGAAATATAGGTTGTTGGATAATTTAAACTGTATTGCGGAGACCCATTTGTAGCTATTCATTCGGGTAGTTACAATTTTTGCTGTTCGTATTATTGAACATTTACTCACACGTAAGAATCTTAAATAATATAGTTATAATAAATGGTGATTATAGAAAAAAACAACAAGCGTAAATGCTCCATCTCAAACGGGCTTCTTACAAACGGATACTTATAAAAGGATTTGGCTAATTCTCAGCCGTTATTCAATAACTAAATTATATACTGATTCTAAATGAACTGTTTTCTTTCTATCTTGTCATACGTTAGATGGTATATATCATTCTGGATCATGCAGTGTAAATGTATCGACATATTGATTAATTCCTAACCAACATTTCACCCATGACAAACGGACAAAAATGTAAATGTAAATAGATTTGTGTTTATCTTGATGTTTATTTAAAGAAATTGGATTCTGAAAAGAAAGCAGGACGAATATCTTAGTTATAAAACAAACGTCAAGTAACAGAAATTTGTACGACTAAAAAATAGAAGCTAAGACTTTCACTTTTTTATGAGAAATCTTAACATACATTTCATTATTCTTATAGTAAACAAACAAAGCAGTTAGAATAAGATAAATGTCTAAAATGTAAAAAAAGCAATGAGGTGAATTGATCGTAATTTAGATTGTAATACAAACGTTTGATTTGTCAAGCGAAAATCCCTCAGTATTATTGCTACCTTAGTGTGTAAATAACGTTGATTATATAGAATGCAATTATATGGTTCTGACAAATCATTCTAGCTGTTCTGTTGACTTTTTTGTTTCTTTTCAACATAATTTTATTTCAAATATCATACTATTCACCAATTCAGCTTCAGTGATATTTTTCACATGAGAGTTTAACCACCTAAATCTTCACTTTTCAGTCAGAATGACAAATGAACAGTCACAAATACTTTTCAGTTATTCGGATTTTCAATTCGTGTGATAATATAGTTAAGATTGAAAGACATATTACAATTTTTAAGTCTCAATAAGAGCGTAATTAAATATATTTTGATACATAACAGGGTAATCTATGTACAGTTACTTACTTACTTACGCCTGTTATCCCTCATGAAGGATCATATGCTGCTCACCAGGATTCTTCATCCACCTCTGTCCAGGATAATATATACATTTAAGTGAACTACCATGTGCTCACTAGTGACTAGTTTTGTGAGGGAATCCTCGGAGTTCTAGGAAGAAGCCGTGACCAATGGCATCCAATCCGCGTTGGGTACAGACAGGCATCTACCTCAGTACAATGGAAGATGGTCCAAATCTTAGTAGTGACACTTGCAATTTTTCAGATAGTTTATCCCGATTTTATAAAAACTGTAATAAAAAACTACAATGTGATCGCCACTATCCTATGTTCTGAGTTATTTATGATAACATCTCAACTTACTGCTGAGTTGCATGGTCTATGAGACCTTGACTGGGTGACAAATAGTTGACAGACCTAGAGTAAAACATGATGTGCCATCCGGCAGAGTAACATTTATAAAACATGTTTATGATACTTAGATCAGTGTTTCAAGATCGAGAGCTGCTTTCATTAATTTATTATGTATCAGATACTTATACATGAACACCGTTGGATTCCGGTTTAGTTGTCTAGAAGTTATGTGTTCGCGAGCAAGTCCCCGGACCCCGGATTTAAATCCCGCAAGCGGGATCGTGAATGTGCACTGCTGAGGGGTCGCACAATAGGACAAAATGGTCGTCTAGTGCTTCCAGTTTTTAAATGGTGGTTTAACATCAATCGGTTCATGATCTCAATCAAAAATCTGATAATCTCCACAACCCCATATTGATAAAGATAAAACAGTAAAAATACACTTTACGCAAATTTTTCTTAAAATATACAAACTAATTCGAGCTTTCTTCCAGTACCTCTCCATAACAACAACTACTGATAATATACTAATAATTTTTTTATAGAAATATGTGGTTTTAGGACTAATAAAAATCAACAATCATTAGTTAGCTATTAAATTGTAGTATACGAATCCATATCAGTATAAAGCTAAAAAATAAATGATTTCCACTGTGGTAGTGTTCTTCAAACTAACCGTAATAAAATATCTAATGTATTTTATTGAATATATAACAATACATCTTATTTCAACAGTCGAGACCATGAGTCAATTAAAGCTAGACCACCATGGAAACCTGGAAGCACTGGAAGGCCATTTCGTCCTATTGTGGGACTCCTCAGCAGTGGACATCCGCGCCCCGACCCCGCGGGATTTGAACACAGGACCCATCAGCTTCGCGCCAAGTGCTTAACCAACTAGACCACTGAGCCGGCATCCAATGTTGTTAATGTCTAACTTCAACTGATCAACGAAATTGAGCAACACATCCACCATTGTCATCAGTGAGTTACTACCTCATAACTGACCCAGTTGAACTTCACTGGTCACTGCTTCTCACTAGAACTCCAGGATATATATCCTTGAAACCAGTCACTAGTGAGCATATGTTAATTAGTATCAGAAGGGGTTTTTGTGGAACGGCCGTCCAGCGCTTCCAGGTTTTCCATGGTAGTCTAGCTTTAATTGACTCATGATCTCAACTGTTGAAATTACTACAATCTCCACAAAAACCCCTTCTAATACATCTTATATATATTCTACAGAAGTAATAGTTGATTGATTTTACTGTAATTTCCTTTCTTCTTCTTCTTCTTCTTCTTCTTCTTCGTTTTCTCCTTTTTTGTAAAAATATTTCCAAAAAGTAATGAAATGATTTCATTTTAAATTTTGAACAATAAATTTAAAACAACCTGTAAATGGATACAAGACATGTTAATAACAATAATAATCCTGTGAAACATTAATGATGTTAAATTACAATTCCATTTGTTTCCGATTTCCTTTTTTTATTTATTATCTTCATTTTACTTTACCATCAATTTACATGTTAGACTATGCATGAAATAAAATACTTCCTTTAGATATTGGAATAACATGTAAAACATACAAATAAGTTGTCT